GCCGATGTTGTCAATAAGGCCCAGGCTATATATCGAAGGGGCACCAAATATCCAGTAAAATTTTAAAATCATTCTAAAAGCAACACTACCATCATGGTTTGTGGATCTTAAGATGGTACCCTATTGCCTCCTTACGTAATATATAAGAGTGAACTGAACACTTATATTATACATGATACATGGAAGGAAGGAGGCATTAAAGGTTACCCACGTTGTGACAAGCCATGTTGTATAACTGGATGCAGATTTAATAGGACATCCCATGGATGATAGACATCAACACATTCCAGGATTTGTTTGAAACTCGCTTTTTACCGCATGCCTGAAGATAAATGGGAAGGAAGGTACTAATCGGTGACAATTTAGCATCTCATTTCAGCAAATCTATTGTTCGTTTATGTGAAGAGAATAACATTTCCTTCGTTTGTCTCGTACTGAATTCAACGCATGCCATCCGTTGGACGTGGCATTTTTTAAGCATATGAAAGTAGCCTGGTGTTCCATACTGACGGACTACAATCTAAACAAGTATTAAAAGTAATTTTAAAATACTGACTTCAAAATCGTGCATATGCCATCACTATGTCTTGACCAAATGTATATGGGACCACCCCTGAGGTACCCCCTTACTAACAAAAAAAGAATCATTGAAATCGGACACCATGCTAGAGAATTATCGCTGAAAATACATAAAAAAAACAAAAAAATATTCCGACGAATTGAGAACGTCCTCCTTTTTTGAAGTCGGTTAAAAATAGAGCATCTGGTATCCAAAAGTAGATTTTCCCTTCGCTTTTAAAGCGTGCACTATAGAAAATGGACCAAGCTCTGTTAAAAACCAGTATTAAACCAGGAGACCAAGAAGAATCTGCAATAAAACGAAATCTGATTATCGGTTTTCAACCGACTTCAAAAAAGGAGGAGGTTCTCAATTCGTCGTAATATTTTTTTTATGTGTGTTCAGCGATAATTCTTTAAAACAGTGACCGATTTCAATGATTCTGTTTTTGTTAGAAAGGGAGTACTTCAGGGGTGGTTCCGTATTAATTTAATCAAAATCTAACAATTGGGTCCATTAGAAAATCCTCAAACTCTTTATTTTTAAAGTATGTTTAGCGCTAAGTCTTTACCACCTTGTCCAATTTCTATGATTCATTTTTTATTAGTAAGGGGGTACCTCAGGGGTGGTCCCATATAAATTTGGTTAAGATATAATGACGGCATCTGCACGATTTTGAAGTCGGTTATTTAAAATTACTTTTAATACTTATTACGCAAGTGGAATACACCAATTCAATCCCAGGAAAGTCCTCGACAAAAATCCGGGAACGTCAGAGAACGATAACAATCCGGGGCCCATTGTTGAAGATGCTCTCTCAGAATTATTACGTGTAAATCGTTTTGGTAGCCAAAACAATCAGAGAATTCAACGAAAAAGAAAACGCATCAATATAGAGCCAGGAAAAAGTGTTGCAACCGTTGACAGCAGCAGTTCAGATGAAGCTTAAGACATATGCCGGAGTCGGAGAATACCTACTTCATTCGATGAAATCGATAATTCAGTTATAGAGGAAGTAGAATAAACACAACCCGATCCACAACTTTTAGTACCAGTATGTTTCGTTTTGGTTCATTTCCTTGGTGGAAAGAGACGTTCCTTACAGTACAAATATGTGTGTAAAATTTAGTCACAATTTTCAGAAACTGATTATACAGTAGTTGGCTGTAAATCGACAAACCAAGAAACAAAAGCTTTTAAGCTTATACCAAAAGATATATCGTCAGTGCTATGGAGACTAGAGATAAGGAGGCGAATCGGCTTGCTCAAAATACGGTCCCAAAAATCACACGTCAATTGAGCTTTTATAATTAACCGCATGGGCGCTGGTACGGTTTACGTAGTTCAAAATACATGGCTTCTTATGGGAATTATACATAATTTTGTCAAAATAATAAAAATAAACTTGTTTATAGCTAAATAAAGCACAGAACATGGTGTTGTATTTATTTCTAAATAAGTCTTACATATTTTAATTGATACAGTATTTACTGTTTATTCCTATTTAAGTAAAATGCAAATTATTGATGATAAGTGTTGAAATTTGATGGGCAGGGCTAATTATTTTTAATTAAAGCTAAAGACACGGTTTAAATGAAAATATTTAGTTAGGGATTTTACAAAATTTTATAAAAATAATAAAAATCAAATTGTTTATTGCTAACTAAAGTACAGAAAATACTGTTGGTATTAATAATTATAAATGAGTCTTTATGTTAAACATTATTTACTATTCTTTATTTAATTTTATCTAAATAAAATGAAAATTAGGTATGACCAAATTTGAAATAGTAGTTATTGCAACAAGTGCTAGAAGATGCACTTTTACGCACGAAACTGCGTTACCCGCACGACGCGCAGCGGAGTGCGGGTAAGCAGGTGAGCTTATAACCCGAAGGTCCACGGTTCAAACCCGGGCCTCGGCGGTAAGTATACCTTGCCTTTTTTTCAATTTATATTTCTCTGCGTGCGAGAAGATAAACTTCTCGCACTCGAAAGAGTGCGAGAAGATCATCTTCTCGCACGCTTGTAGAAAAAGGTTTGTTAAATGGTGAAATTTGGTAAGAACAGTTTTGTGGTAATTTTGTATTCGACAACTACAATTTTATCATCCTGGTGAATATTTTCTTCAGCAATAGGTTCTAGTATTTTCTTCCTTTTTTTTATTCTAACAAATTCAGTTCGATTCAATGGTGGTTTTCGTCTTTTCCTAATACTGGACAAGTATGAAGGGAGATTCGGGAATATACATGGTATTGCTTCGTTCTTTAATCTCGGCCTTTCCCTTTTTATTTGGTTAACAATACCATTAGTTAAAATAGTCTCATCAAATTTTAAAATATCATCTTCTAAAAAGTGTAGCTCGCAAACAGAATCATAACTAGACAGTACTTTATCAGCCCTAGGAATCACATGCTGCCATTGTTCTAAACGTTTAGGATCCTATAAAAAATATTTGCAATGACTAAATTGGAGTTCAATAAAGAAAAATAACAGTAATAACTTTTCATCTAACATAAAAAACGCAAATTTTCTTTTCTAGTAAGTTAAATTTAATGTGTAATTATTGTTGTTTGTAAGTCAGAATTTATGACTTTATTATTTTTTATTATAGAATTTTGTAATTAAATAAACTACAGTCCGTAAGATACGGGTTGTGACTATTTTACAATACATATATATTATTTAGAAATAAATACATTATTTTACTTACACTACTTAAAAAGACTTGGATTTTTATCTCATTGTGTTTTCTTTAATTTTATATTGGATTTATATCCCGTTTTTCAACCCGAAACGAAGCAAATCCTGCTTTGCCGTTTTTTGTTACTCATTGCTACTTGTAGTCAGGTTCTTTATTTCAGCTTATGTTTATTCTTTTCGCAAAATTTTACAAAAATCACTTTAATTCCCATTGACTTGCATAGAAAATAGACGTCGTTATTTTGCCACCCGCCAACTACAGTAGTTTTTTGGAACTCCATAAAAATAGGGACGGAAATTTGAAATTTGACCAAGGCCGATTCGCTTCATTATCTCTAGTCTTCATAGTCAGTGCCATTGTCAGATTTTTTTGCCATATTGCCCCGACAAGCAAATGTTGATGGAACCGCTGAGGTAAAATTTGAAAAGAAAGTTAATGTGCAGGAACGTTTAGAATAATTAATAGCCAAATAATGACATTTTACACAGTTCCTGTTTTTTAATAAAGTTAGTTCTAATTAGTTCTTGTTATATGGATCCTTTGAATTAAGTATTTATTTTTGTATGAAGGTACTTTTTTGTAAATGAGGTTTTGTTTGTACCTGTTTTGCAATTCCTCATTATTGTAAACCGTAATATGTATTTTATATAGTAGTTATGAAAATAAAGATGCTAAAAAGTAAATTGCAGTCTAAATCATCCCGATCAAAGTCACCCTCAAAACAAAATTTGACATACCGAAACAACAACAATTTGCAAATGGGGCGAGTATGATCATTTTGTACATCTTCTGTGTATTTTAAGCATATTTTTAGGGGGTATCAAAGTAGCACTATTTCGCGTATAAAGTTGATCACCATGTTTTTATTTTATTTACTCTGTATTTTTAAAAATATTTATTTTTTAAGTACAGGTTCACACTTTATCAATACAATATCATATAATTCTTAGCAATTTTTATTTAATATGTTCGTTAAAAAACGAACATTATATTATGAAAATTAAGTTTAAAATGATCAAAGTAATCTCATTTTATGATACATACTTTTTTCCACCTACTTAATAAGTAAATATGTTAAGTAAATATGTATTGAAAGAAAAGTAAGTAACTATACTATTTGGCACCCTGTATATTATATCCGACCTGAAATATACTATTTTTGACAATTTTTCACTAAATTTACCATCCATACTATCCTAAACAAGCTTCACAAAAATATTTCAGGTTTTAAGCAAACAAAAATTTGATCCGGTTCTGTATTTATAAAGTTTATAATTATCATCACCGAGTTAGAAAGTAAAAAATAGCCACATTTTACGATGGCATTGCACTTTTAACTATTTAGATATAGGAAACAATGAAGACGTCATCTAAAACAATAAACACCTGCTAATAAAATTAATCATCGAACCAAATAATTGCGAAATTCTTTTATCGAAACCAAATACCTAGTTGGTGTTTATTTTTGTTAAGAACAAGAAAATACAATTAATTTTAAAAAGGTTTAATGACAAACAAATTGCATAAGTAGGTACTTAAAATAATTAAAGGAACTTATAATATTGGTTATCTCATAACAAGCTTTAAGAAGAAAATTTCTAAATCAAGTGTAATTTTGTAATAAAGCTGAGAGACCATAAAAATTATTAAAATATTCCAAAAAGGAATGTTGATGAAAATACATAGTCAGTAAAAACTGACGTGGCATTATCGTTAAAGCTTTCTTTAACAGCATAGATGGTAAAAGATGAAGGTATATTTTATCCAAGTCATTGATAAACAAAATAAAAAGTCCTAAAATGGAGTTATGTGGTAACACCAAGATCACTTTGCACCTGTTCCGATGAAATATTTTTAAAAACTACATATTGTGTCCAATTAACCATAATATTTTTAATCCATTTAAGGCTAAATCCCTCTATTTAAACGATAGGTACTCTAGATTGATGTAGCAACACTTACCTGTTTCAATGTAATATGAATAGACTGCCGTAGTTATTGATTTTTTATTTTGAAAACAATTATGATATTTTTGAAAATTGGTGTTTCAATATATCTAGAAAAGAATCCGTAACAAAAAAGAAACATTAAAAAGAAAAACAATTAGGTTTAGAAGTGTTACCCGGTACCTCATCAAATCTTGACGAAAACCTATTTTTTAATACCGTATTTGTACTTGAATAAATTGAACTTGAAATGACTTACATTTATGACATGTTTCAAATCATTCTGTATAAAATGAACCATTTTTATCATCACTATCCGTTAACTTGGTAGGTACCTTATAAGTCTGTAATTTAGGAGGTCATTGCTAATATACCTAAATTATAATAATTGTTGTTAAATACAGTATTAATGGGACATCCTATATAAGTATTTAGGTATAGGTAGTCAAAGTACACAGTCGTTTCTTAAGCATTTATTTGTTTTTCTGACAAAGTTTAATGCAAGGGCTTCTTCAATATTTGACTACTTAATAGTTTTGATACCATTATTATTGCATTGAATCAAATGTGGATAATAAAAGCAATACATTTAGGTAGGTAATATTTAATCAATTTTATATTACTGGCTTAGGTTTTAGAATGAGATTCAGAAAAGCTACATTATTTATTTAACATGAATATCCAACACAAGCAAGTTTAGATTTTAGCCGAAAATTAAAGCTACCCAGACAACACACATAGTCCAGTGAACGTCCAGAACGTCCATATCCGTATTCTGATATCCAGTGTACGTCCGGTTATGATCATTAATTTGATAGCTGCATATCGATACCCAGAGGACGTCTGTTTTTGGACTTAATTTTAAGTTTGGTATTATTTTGACGTCAAGTGAACGTCCATCTTAGATCATTATTTATTAAGCCTACCAGATAATACCCATCTATACACCCTTTCTTTTTTTTATAGAATTGGTTATTAAAAATTGACAAATTGAATCTATTACATTTCATTTTATCAGCAGAAGTTTGAAATCTTATTCTATTGTAACCTTATCTAGTAAAAAATTTTCAAGTGGCTCCTTGGTCGAGGTCGCCTAGCGTTTGAAAGCCTAGAACGACAATGGACGTGACGTGAGTTCGAAATCTGCTCAGGTCAAGTGATTTTTAATTAAAAAAAATTAATAAATGGTGTAAAGCGGGATACGAAAATAATAAATAAATTATTAATAATATAAAATAGTGTGTGGTGAATTGCGGTAGTGTAAAAAAAGTGGTGATGTGGTGGTCTCAATTGAATATAATCCAGAAATGGATATTTTTGGAATGTCCAGTATTCAAAGTACAAATATAATCCAGAATTGGACGTCCTGTGAATGATCAAAAGTGTGCCATTTGTATGTCCAATGGACCTTTGTGCTCACTGGGTATTTTCTGTTTTCATAATTTCTACCGGCTAGGTATATATTTTTTCATTTGTTTGATCAATAATAAAGTAGTCATAGATAGAAATGTAGAAGGTATAAAAGGTCTAGATGTTTAAAAGGTATAGAAGGTAGGTATAGAAGGTAGGTATATAAGGTAGGTATAGAAGGTAGGTATAGAAGGTAGGTATAAAAGGTAGGTATAGAAGGTAGGTATAAAAGGTAGGTATAGAAGGTAGGTATAGAAGGTAGGTATAGAAGGTAGGTATAGAAGGTAAGTATAGAAGGTAAGTATAGAAGGTAGGTATAGAAGGTAGGTATAGAAGGTAGGTATAGAAGGTAGGTATAGAAGGTAGGTATAGAAGGTAGGTATAGAAGGTAGGTATAGAAGGTAGGTATATAAGGTAGGTATAGAAGGTAGGTATAGAAGGTAGGTATAGAAGGTAGGTATAGAAGGTAGGTATAGAAGGTAGGTATAGAAGGTAGGTACAGAAGGTAGGTATAGAAGGTATATAAGATATAGAAGGTATAGAAGGTCTAGAAGATGGCCGAAGAAGGTATAGAAGGTATAGAAGGTATATAAAGTATAGAAGGTATAGAAGGTATAGAAGGTATAGAAGGTATAGAAGGTATAGAAGGTATAGAAGGTATAGAAGGTATAGAAGGTATAGAAGGTATAGAAGGTATAGAAGGTATAGAAGGTATAGAAGGTATAGAAGGTATAGAAGGTATAGAAGGTATAGAAGGTATAGAAGGTATAGAAGGTATAGAAGGTATAGAAGGTATAGAAGGTATAGAAGGTATAAAAGGTATAGAAGGTATAGAAGGTATAGAAGGTATAAAAGGTATAGAAGGTATAGAAGGTATAGAAGGTATAGAAGGTATAGAAGGTATAGAAGGTATAGAAGGTATAGAAGGTATAGAAGGTATAGAAGGTATATAAGGTATAGAAGGTATAGAAGGTATAGAAGGTATAGAAGGTATAGAAGCTATAGAAGGTATAGAAGGTATAGAAGGTATAGAAGGTATAGAAGGTATAGAAGGTATAGAAGGTATAGAAGGTATAGAAGGTATAGAAGGTATAGAAGGTATAGAAGGTATGGAAGGTATAGATGGTAGAGAAGGTATACGAGACTTGCTCCCAGAGAAAAAGTACGCGTGCGTTAAACGCGAACGACTAACAGCTGTGTAGCGTGGAGTCTTCTATTTCGAATGCCAAACCTCCCGTGTCTATAAACAAATTAGTCTAGTCATGGCCTTCATTTGCATAAGAGTTGTTTTATGTTTTGCCGGAAAAAATGATAACTAATAAACAGAGCAAAGAATCGTCGTGAATTTTCATATGAAACTTTGAAAAAGCGCTACTGAAACTTATCTTTTATTGAAAGAAGTGTATGACAATGAACGATTATCACGTACGCGAGTTTTTGGCTGGTTTAAGCATTTCCAAGATGGCCGAAAAGACAATGAAGATGATACACGCCTGGGTCACCCTTCCACGTCAAAACTGGGTGAAAATATTGACAAATTCGGTAATCCGATTCGATCTGAGCGTCGGTTAACTATTCGAGAGATTGCTGAAACTGTAGGAATTGACAAAAAAATAATAAAAAAAAAGGCCAGAATTGTGGAATAACAAGTCATAGGTTCTCCATCAAGATAATGCATCGGCTCATTCAGCATTGTCTGTCAAGGCGTTTAGTCAAGTACAACATCCCGGTGTTATATTATTCGCCCTATTCGCCTGCCCTTGTACCATGAAACTTCTATCTAGTTCCCAAGGTCAAATCTGCATTAAAGTGAACAAAATTTCCGTTCGTTGAAGCTGTGAAAAAAAAATCGGCACTCGTCATGAAGGAGCTCACAGAAAAATACTTCCAGCACTGTTTTGAACAATGGAAAATTCTTGTAAAGCATTGTAGTCATAGAGAAGGGGTGTATGTTGAAGGTGATAACAACTAAAAATGTATAAGTTTAAAATACAGCCACACCTCGTATAAGGTATAGAAGCTACATCCGAGAATACCGATCAGTATTCTCGGGCTATATATTGTTCATAAGGTAGGAATATTTTCTAAAGGTTACTTGTAATCGTTGCCTCCAATACCTTCTTGTGAAGGGACTCAACTAATTGAAACACACATTTCTTTTGTAGATTAACGTTTGCAGAATTTCATGAATTTCTTGAACCAAGCGATGTTGAGAAAAATGTACTGCATGGAATGAATTGGATGAAAGGGAATCAATGTAGAACGTTCTTCAATTCGTAACTTCGGAGTTTTCAGGATACTAAAAAAGTCGTCTGTGTGAATGAGAGTTTCGGCGGTTGCTACTGAACCAACTACTCCATGTTCATTTTTGGAAACATCAGTAGAGAAAATGGAATTGAAATGATTTGTATTGCTAAATTGATTGAAAGATTGTTTAAAAATCATTTTCTTTACTGCATTTGGATAATGTAGTGTTAACATTAGCCAACTTTTTGAAAATAGAGATAGGTGTGGTTTAGTGGTTTTGAACAAGTCGATATTATCTAAAAGAGGTTTTAATATGTGTTGAACAGGATGAGGAATTCTTGAGGTATTGGACGCATTACAGTTTGGTGAATGATAGAGAAATTTATATACTCGGTTTACTGAGTTTGAAGATATTATTTTACAATACGACACTAAATTAAGTTTTTGTTGTAAATGTAAAGAAAGCTCAATATGAGTGGTACAGTGGACTGGATCTAAAAGCTGCAAGACAAAGTCTTAGGGCAGAGTTATTAACAGTGTTTAAGGTGTGTAAAGATGTTTTGGAAGCAGATATAAAAACAAGGCTACCACAGCCCAATTTGGATAGGATTAAAGCTCTATAAAGTCTAAGTAATGATTTTTCCCTTCTTGAAAATCTATAAAATAAATAGTTTTTGAAGGTTTACAAAAAAAAGCAAGATTACTCTCCCCTAAATTTTGTTTTATTAATGTGTATTTCCAGAAAATTTCTCAAAAATCGGACTAAAAATAAAGGGTATACAAAATTTTACAAATTATTCGATTTGCTCTCAAACGAAATTAATTCTACTTTATGTTTTCAAATTGTATATGCCACATTTAATTTTTTTCAATGTGTTAATTTAAAAAGTATGCAAATACTAGGTACTCAAAACAATTATAAGCAAATTTTAGTTATATGAATTATAAAACACTGCGTGAATTGTAATTTTTGTCCAGTTAAATATAAGAAATGTTCCATTGTGCGCGGTGGCGATTCGGTTTCCTTTTCTGTTATCATTCATGATAAGAGGCTAAAACTAGAGGATTAACGTTCTTCGGAGACTCATCGTAAGGCTGAATTATATTCTACTGCTATAAAGGAAATAAAATGGCTTCTATATTATAATACACAACAATTTATTCAGATTATTCGATTTATTTAACATTAATTTAGTCTACTAATGTACATAAACTATATGTAAATATAATTTACTTGAATTTTTACAATTTTAAATCGAACTTGATGTACTGTACCTATAGGGTGTCCCAAATTCGTATGGATGTATAGAAAAAAAGGAATAGAAATAGTAGTAAAAATGTTATTATCACTTATTTTTTTGGTAAAATAATGATAATCCAATCAAATATTTAGTAGGATGTTTCGTATTAGAGGTGTAGTTGTCTTAGAATTCGGTGGTAAAGCGTAACGAATATTTTTATATATCTGTACCTCGGAGCCAGACTATGTTAAGTCCAAATTGGCCAAATTTTAGGTAAATATGTTAAGTGACTCAAAATTTGGCGGCGCATCGTTTGGCATTTTCCATTTTGACGTATCTTTTAAAATAACAAAAATAGCTCATTTTTAACTACGCTAAGCCCACAGTCCACACTCTAAAATGAATATATTAAAAATGCTCTCCTGAAAAACTAAGTTTTTGGACTTACCATACTCTGGCTCTGGGGTACAGATATATATATAAATATTTAGCTTCATTATGACGATAATAACGATTTCACTTCAAGTCATTCAGACCTATATTGAAATGCTACTGGGAAATTACTTTGTGGGATTAACGGATCCGATGATGGTGACTCGCGCCAGCGAAAGATGACCATGAGTATTGACCAATTTTCCTTGAATTTCACGGCTAAAATTTTTTCTCTACTGCAATAAATAAATATATAAAAAACACAATGTTCTTTTAAAGCTTTATTTCCATAATTATATTATAAAAATATTATATATATTTAGGTAGAAATTTGTATGATACTCATTACTCATCTTAAAAAATACGCTATACTTATTTTTCTATTGTGTAACTTACTTCTTAATATACTTACAAAATTATCTTTTTTTTGAATGTTATTTTTTAATAACTGAATGAATTTATTGGCACAATTAATTTTAATGTATATATCCGTTTGAAACGATTTAATATGGCTGTAAATTATTTATGCCAAATATCAAAAAATATACTAAGTGATTTAAAAGTTATAAGGCACGGAAGAAATGGACCAATTTCAAAAAACACCCTGTAACTCGGTTATAAAGGTCGCAAGACCCATACTACATGGGTTTTTTTGTGGTCCCCCGGGTGATCGCTATATATGGTTATAATATTTCCCTTTCCCAATGAAACATCCTGTATAAAAATATTTAAATCCAAAGTTGTTTTAACCTAAATGTTACAAACTTAACCAATTAATAAGTATGTAGCTTGGCGCTTTTCACCACCAATATGACGAATCTATTAAATACAAAGCATGTATAAATTCGAAAAAAAAAATCAGATTCAAGCAGTTCCTGGAAATCTTATAGGTTCAAGAAAAAAGCTGGCGAGAAACCTCAGAAGATGCCATGAGTATATAGCAGAATATCAAGCTGAAAAACAAATTGTTTTTTATAAAAAGTTCTGTATATAACTTGGACAACCATTATTAAGCATCAAATTTGTAAAATTCAAAAAAATTTTAATGCATTATTTTTTTATTTAAATCAACAAAAACTAAAAATAAGTGCAATGATTTAAACGAGAATATTTTTCAATTTTTATATACATATCATTTTCTTTATTAATAGGTAAACAAATAAATTTATTGCCTCCAAAGTTATTTTTCACAGAAGAAACATTAATTTAACATTTATATAAAAACTACTAGTTGCAGATAAATATAATATTTTTTAGCATCGTACAGCCTGTCATCGTGATAAAAATCTAGTGAACCTTTGAAATATACCTTATATAAATTTAATATACTTTTTAACTACTTTTGTACAATCGTTCACCATTTTTGCTTCTAGTGAACCTTTGTGGTATAGGTAGGTACCTTATTACATTCTTGCAATCATTTAGTGTTTTAGATTCTAGTGAACCTTTGAGATATTTCTTATATACCCTTTATACCTACTTTTGTCCAATTTTTCAGTGTTTTATAGGTAGCTTATGGTATCGCATATGTGTAATTTCCAGTGGCATAGCCACGGGGGGTTTAGGGGTCAGAACCCCCCATGAAGGGCCTTCGCGTTACCGTTCCCCCATCTTATTGACGCTGATCGCTATTAGTTTGTTAACCCCCCATGGTTCTCAGAAACCCCCATGAAAATTCTGGCTACGCCACTGGTAATTGAGTTATTTTGTATATACCTATATTATTGATATCTACCTCTACTTTTGTAATATTGCTACTTTATTTCAATAGCGTTTTAATAATAAATTTATTTATTTTTTTGTTTCATTGAGATTTTACTACATTCTCAATATACTATTTTATAAGGATATATAATATTAATTTTAAATTTTTCAAAAGAACGTAAATTTTCATAATTTCTCAAGGTACTCATATTATAACATCTATAAAACTTTCATAACAACTTTCGGGGAACGTACTGTAAGACTGAATGTTTTAGGAACTTTGTAATCTCAATGAGATGTGCTATAAAAGTCTTGCAGTTTGGGACATTCGGCGGTTGCATGGATGTTACGGTTACATTAAAAGAACATTGCATGCGAGCTTAAAGATACCGAAATTGCAGCTTATTAACGTAGATGGGATGTTTATGTGCTAGCTGGGTTTATTACATAATTGTCTGCTTATTAATCCTTTGCTGATTTTCAGGTCACACAAAAAGTACGATATATTCCGTACGCCACTGGAAGGTACAAATTAACGCAAACACGTCACAATAATTTCTAAGACTTTAGTGCCTACTATTTTGGAATTGTAGTATACAGGGTGTTAAAAAAAAGTGTCACAAAATGAAATGGTGAATAGTATGACCCAAAATAAGCAGAAAAGTCTTAATAAATATATGACCGCAAATTAACGGTTTCGGAGATACGGACCATTTTGTGTTTATAACAATTTTTTATTATTATAAAAAAACAATGATATTTATAAACAATCAATAACAACATAGAGTTAAATGAGATGTTCAAAGTGCCCTCCCTCCATTTCAATGCATTGCCATTTGCACGACCGTACATAAAATGCATGTCAGCTAATTCAATATTAGTGTAAACAGGCATAACGAAAATTTATAAAATTATTCACCCACAACAAAATAATAACTGCAAATAGTATCTATGAAAAAACATCGGTAGACTCCGATAAGAAAACCAAGTTTTTGAGAATGAAAAAAGATAATCAAAAAATGATACAAAACACAAAACACTCCGTATCTCTGAAACCATTCATTTGCGGACATATGTTTATTAAGACTTTTCTGCATATTTTGGCCCATACTACCCCCCGTTTTATTTTGTATTATTTTGTATTATAATACGACTGACGATGTGCCAGGCGAATTGCAATCATCATTGTTGTTAAGTTGATTAGATGTTTTAATTTTTTTGTACCTACCTAATATTTGTGCAAAATATTAATTATATTTAAAATGAGGGATTTAAAGTGTTCTTGCAAGCCAAGCAAGACACTGTGCCATAGCAATAAATGTTTATGTTTTAAAACTCATATGAAATGTACTAGCAAATGTCATAAAAGCGGACCATGCTGTAATAAATAATCCTAATCTAATTTTTTTGTGTTATCGGCATTAACTACTAAGGTTATTAGCCTCACGTTCTGTGTAGGCTTTGTTACTGTTTCCCAGCGCCACTTTAGGAACATAACTGTCAATTAAAACCGACAGTGAATGGTCGAGTGGAATCTTAATTTATAATTTGTATTTTTATTTTAAATAGTTTAGAATGTTTAAAATCGAGTATAGTTCGTATGGCACACAGTTATGCGTCAGTCGTATTATAAACACGATTCGCCTGGCACATCGGCAATCGTATTATAATAGTCGGATTCTAAAACGCATCTATTCAATTTAACAATAAGACTAACAATCGCCAGGCTTGTTATAATACGTCTGAAATTATTAGTTAAATTGTGAGATTCTTAATTATTTGGGTAGTATTATAATATGCCTAGTCGTATTGAAAAAGCCTAGGCGTATTATAATAAGACTGATTTTACCATAAGCCTGCGACATATATAGTAGAGAGAGATTTAGACTTTTTAATTTTTTTATGGATGTAGATATAGCTTTGTACTTGTAAAGTTGTTTGTCGTTTCCAGTTGTACAATTATTTGTGTGCAAGCAGCCATCTTGTTATTGTTATCAAACACGGTGTATTTGTTTGTCGAACATTAATATATTTTTTCTGAATAAACTAATTCTTTCTTTCTATCGTCCTTAAATACAGTGAATTCAGAGGTTCTTGGAGGCCTGAAATAGGACCTACATGTCCTTGTTGCCAACAACATTATTTAGATGATTTTTTACAGCGACTAAAAAATGAAACGATGCTCCATCATGTTGGAAATACATACAATATTTAGTTTATTTATGAACAAATTATAATCGTCCCAACATTATAGTTGTTTGGTCTCGTACTAAGTACTTAAACCATTTGAACATTCTGTACAAAAATTAGTAGTAACACTTAAAACCAATAAAAACGATATTTTTAAATTAAAAACTCGTACAAAAATTAATCCGATTTGGTTTCACCTTTTCCGGTAATTTTAGAAGGAAGTTTTTGAGAAAACGTCAGGTAAGGAAGTATTTTACTCATGAAAAATTCATCTCTTATGCTTCTCAGAGCAAACGAACAGAACTTTTGAATATTTCTAATCAAGTAAATGCAAAGAGCATTACGGAAATTACAATCAAATTAGCAACTTTTTAATTACATGTGATATAATTGAGCCGAACTTCCATTTAATCATATTTCCCAAAAAAGAACATCTCTGAAATTATTGTTAGGAAGTTATAATGTATTTTTTAACTAGGTGTAATATCGTCTGCTCTGGTTGTGGGCATAGGCGCCGCCAGAATTTTTCCAGGTGAGAATTTTCTTCTTTGTTTTGAGTTTACTAATAAAGTGTTAAAGCTATTGTAATGTGAGCCATTTTCGACCAATCTGGTCATGCTCTGTTCCTTTGGGACCCTCTGCCTTGTTTGGACCTTGTACTACCCCACTTGTCCTTAAAACCAAGAATATTTGATGAAGGGTACTTATAAACCCACTTTACCCAGCTATAGGGATGCCTATGCTTACAGATAGCTGGTATGAATCATTGCAATATATTTAACCCTAATTTGAGGGTGATTGCAACTAACTAATTATTATGGTCTATGAATTAAACACAATATGTTGATTCTACAACCATTTAATTCCAACTCCTATTTCAACTGTGGTACAAAATATAAAAATGTCTCTACAAGATAAGAAATTAAATTTACAGGGTGTAACAATTTGAACCTATAAAATAATATGAAATAATTATATTAGATATTCTACATCTCCCCCTCAAAAAAAAAAATAGAAGTATTAACCTTAACTTCAATATTTACAATCTACTAAGTTAATCATAATTTAAACGATTCACTGGTTTGACCACCCTTTTGGGCCTACTACTAGCACCTAAAATTATTTACACTAGAAACTTCATTTGAATCATCTGCTTGAGACACTAATGGAAGTGAAGATTCCACGATATGAAATTTTTTCATTTGATTCAAATGACGTTTACATTCTGTGTCTTGCAATTCTGGAATTTTAACAATATATGTAACTTTCCCAATTTTTTTAACAACAATGGCTTTTATCCATTCCACCTTATTTTTTCTTCGATAATCGCGCACAGTCACCTGTTCACCTGGCTCGAACACTAAAAACCTTTTACCACTAGAATGAAGTTTTTGTTTTTCTTGTACCTTTGATATATGATTTCTCAAATTGGTTTGATCACCAGGTAAAAGTATATCAAAACGAGTGCGTAAATTTCTTTTTAACATTAATTTCGCCGGACTTACATTTGTTGTACAATGTGGGGTTGAACGATAATCAAATAAAAAATTATTGAGCGCTAAATTAATGTTAATATTAGAGCTTTTCCCAAGTGCATTTTTCAGAGCATTTTTAATTGTCTTAACGGCGTTCTCTGCTGCCCCATTAGAGGAAGGATGGTAAGGAGGGCTAGTAATATGCAAAACATGATTATTTTTTAGAAAGTTTTCAAATTCTAATGAACAAAATGAAGTACCGTTATCAGTTAACGATTTTATTGGGTAAACCGAATCGGGCAAAACAAGATCGTAATATCTCTATTGTTTGCGATGACGTTATTGAAGTCATACGAAAAACTTCAATCCACTTGCTATGAGCATCTAAAATTATTAAAAAATAATTACTTAAAAAAGGACCCATAAAATCTAAATGAAGTCTTTCCCATGGCTGTTCAGGCCAAGGCCAAGATTGAACAATGGTTTTTTCTGGAGAATTTTTATTTTTTAAACAATTTTCGCAAGTTTTGCATATTTCTTCAATTTTTTTACCTAAATTAGGCCACCAGAAATACGATCGCGCTAAGCTTTTCATTTTTACCACACCCATACCTATGTGTAGAGTGCAAACTTTCCAAAATATTTGCTTGTAATTTAACAGGTATTACAATCCTGTTGTTCCAAATTAAACAGTCATTTTCAATCGATAATTCATTTTTAATTTTATAAAAATATTTAAAATCATCATTCTTTTCAAATTTTTTATTTAAAGGCCAACCATTTTCTACGAATTCGACAACAGTTGATAATATTTTATCTTTTACCGTTGCTTGCCGTATTTCTCGAAATTTATCGGAATATTTTCGTTCATAGAAAAAATGTCTATATAATTGAAATCTACATTTTCCACGGAATCCTCTTTCGGCCTGACGTGAAATGATTAGATTTTGGACAAAGTCGGAACATCTGGGGGGTACTTTATGGGAGGCCATTTTTATATATTATGGAATATATCTGTTATTTATGTTTGGAGAAGAAAATTGTTCAAATAAAAGTTACTTCTAATATTATTAACTATAATTTTTGTTTTATGTCAAAATTTTCTGAAATGGTCTGTATTCGAGAAATTTGACAAAATGTGCAAAATTCTGATTTTTATGAAAATTGTTGAACTAAAAGTTGTTTATACCTGATTTTTCTAAAATGGACCGTAATGGAAAAATTGTAGGAAAAGTGCTAAATTTAAATTTTTCAGTATTTTCGTTTTCAATGAATATCTATAGAAAAATGTTTCGAGGTAGATTTATGTGGAAAATGTATATATTTAGTTTATCCTCTAAACATTTATAGAGGTGCTGCAATAGGTTGTACAAAATAACTGGAAAAAGACTATAACTATATAGGAAAGTCATATGTGTTTATCGTTACTATTCTTTGCCTAAGAGTATGCAACACTCATAACTTTACAGTATAGAATTTACAGCATTTGATAATCTATTAATTTAGGGTAGAATTAACATTTATTTGGCAGAAAGAGGTTAAATCTAAGATTTGGTAACAGAAGAAACTTGAGTTCTTGCCATTTATTTGGCAGCTTTATCCACAACAAATTTATGTTTTTATAATCTTTGGCCAATGATTTTTGTTTTCTTTGGCACAGTCGATATTTTAATTATATTCTCGATTTAATAATTCGTTTCATATCGAAACGGTTAATCGATAGCCCGCACTCGCCTGTCAAATGTCAAAATGAGTTAACCTAAAAAAAATCATATTCATAATAGATTGGCCTTTCTGTTATTTACAATTATTTATTAAGCAAATAATGCAAATTCGGAAAAACGGAGACTTAACAACACTTGATTTCAATAGCTGACAAATAGAGCACATCAAGGATTTCCACCTTCCAGTTTTCAGAGATCCATGACAGTGGTATTTGAAAAAACAAATTATGCTAGATTTGTTAACATTAAGAAACCGAAAAAAACGTTAATTGTGGAACTCGATACGCTCCTAACAGGTAGTAATAGTTTTAATAAAATAATGGACTTGGAGAGTGTTGGAACTAGCAATGGTTTGCGAAGAAAAAAATTGAAAGTGTCTTTAGAAAAAGATCTATCAAAACGGGATTTGTCCAGTCTGCCAGTAAGTAAAAAGCCTAAAAATTACTATAGATCCAATAAACTTATGGTGCATACTATAATTTATAAATAAAAAACTACTGTTTTAATAAGATACATATAAGTAGGTACTATAGCATTATTTATATTTCATATTACCACTCTTCAGTTGCTCCGAGCTGTTTATATACTTCATATGTCCAGAGTTATGATTATAAATGCAATTTTCTGCTAAATAATATTTAAACAAACTCAACTTTGAAGTTACTACATAAATGATTTTTTTTTTTAATTGTATACCAAAAATCCATTATATAATTATTTATGGATGGATACTATAGATTCACCGCCTTTAAAAATTACTTTCTCCGAAATAACATTTAAATAATGTCAACTTTGAAGTTACCTACCATATAAAAATTACTTTTCTTAGATGAAAAACCTCAAATCCCTATTATTATTTATAGATTGATACCATGGATTCACTGTCTTTATAAACTACTTTTGAATAAATAACTTAAACAAAGTCAACTTTGAATTTACCTTCTATATAAAAATTATTTTTTAGCTGAAAAACCTTTTTTTTTTAGAAGTCTGTTCTACAGAGGATATTTTCACACCTAGACACACAGTCAATTCATAATTGTGCAGTGCTATGCTCAACTTTCTATAATCTGTCTAAGGACAGTTCCTTATACAAAATTTTAAACTTAAATGTACGTATAGGCATTTAAAATAATTAAGTGAAATATTAACAGTGAAGAGCTATTAGTTTTGTTCGCAGTAACAATCCTGAACTGATTCTGAATTAATAGTAACTTTTTACATGCACAGTTTCTAATTCTATGTTTGCAGTAATTCCATTCATTATTGGTTCTGAACCACTTATGTTATATCTTAAATACCGAGATATAATAGAGGTTGTGTTCGTGGTAACAATTCAGAATTCATAATGAATCTGACATGAGCTCAAAGTATGAATTAGTAGTTCTGAATCAATTCAAGATTGTTACTGCGAACAAAGCTATTGTGACAATTTATTTTTTAGTATAGGATGTCTGAAAATGCTCTAGAATATCATATTTCAAAAATAACTCATCCAGATACAGTAGAGATTGAGTATGACTCTGATCAAAGCCAGGATGATGATCTCACATTTTTTAATCACTCTATTGTAAAGTAAGTATAAGTAATAAAAAATATATTAATCTGATTCTCCAAATAGATAAAATTTTGCAATAATAATAATTAGAACTGAATTGTATTAATCTCTGAATATCATGCTGTCTTATATTTATTAATTTTTTTTTGTTTCACAAGTGACAGACTTTTCGACTGTTAAAGTTATGATAGTTATTTCACCCTGTATATGAAATGAATTCAATTTTATTATAGCAAAGTACAAATTTTGTATATTCTGAAAATATGAAGAAAATTAAACTTTTCAGTTACCTCTAGAGTTCCCCAAGATTCCCGTAGGGGACCCCTTCTCTTAAAATTATTTATCAATGGTGTAATCCAGTTTTCTCAAGCTTCCATTTTTATAAATCCAATCGGTTTAAGAACTGCTTTGCAATGACTTCTGTTTTTTAGGGTTCTAAGAAATTGTGGTGAGGATATTTTTTCATTGAAGTTAGATAATTGTAAAGAAGAAGAGGTATTAACAAATATTGATAATTGTGTTAATCTAGAAAGTAAGTATCAATTTAATGTAATGCATCTAAATAAAATAATAGTATTATTGGTAATCTTGTACTTTAGGGACTTTAATGCGCATATTGACAAAACTGCACTGACGTCTAGAATTTGAATTTTACACCTGCAACTTTGCCATATTTCTATTCTTGTTTTGTTGTTTGTTATTTTCGTATCATTTGTTATTGATTTTTTTTTTTTTAGTTTTTATTATTTAAAATAAAAATGGGTGGTTGCCATATTTCTATTCTTGTTTTGTTGTTTGTTATTGTCGTATCATTTGTTGTTATTGATTTTTTCTTTGTTTTTATTATTTAAAATAAAAATGGGTGGTAAAGTAGAGGTGGACCAGTGTCCTTTTTTATTGTGCCTCACAATGTTTTGGTAATATATTTTATGAAATCTTAACTAAGTACTACTATTTTCCCACATTAAAGAATATTTTTATTGGTTTCTAAAAATGTTCCCTTTCCCTTCAAATTTTAATATATGATTTGGCAACAAACGATACAAATTGTTCCAGTCGGAGTTGTATAAACTATAAGATTGCCATATATTGTTTAAAAAGCAAGAAATGAGCATTCCTTGCGATTTCAACAGTATATTTTTTCTACGACTATAACACATGGCTGTTCATTTTTATAATTAAAATGACAACTCTCTTCTGAATATTTATTTAATGTTTGGCATTTCATGGCTGATTACGAATCCGATCTCAAAAATACAAGATGGTGGATCCAATATGGCGGACCGGAATGAAAACTTTTTCCAATTTCCATGAAATTTGGTATCTTGGGTGTTTTTTGAGTCATTTATTACGAATATACTGACAGGTTTTCAAAGTTCAAAATAGCAAATCTAATATGGCATCCAAAAATATAAAAATAGTGCTTTTTGCATAAAAATGAAACGAGAGGTTTTTGAGTTCCCTAATTTTTAATTTAAAATAAAAAAAAATGTATTCATATAGAAAGTATATAGAAGAAATGCAATCATTATGATGTAAATATGTATTGTGGGTATGTTATGCAATCCTAACCTTTAACATTTCTGGTAAAGGGCTTGTGATGATTCTTTAACATTACTAATCAGAGACGACTCATGGCCTAGTCTACGAGGAGGTTACTTTTGAACCTAAGTTTTAATAGTCATTTTTAAGTTATGATCTACAATTTTTTAATTTTGTCGGCCGCCATATTATACTCGCCATTTTGTATTTAAAGTCATATTGAAAATCAGCGACCTCGAAAACTCCAGGTTTCATTTTTATGCAATAAGGATAATTTTTAATATTTATGGCCGCCATATTGGATCTATCAATTTTGATTTACAATTTTAATGTCATATTCAAAATCAGTCATCTTAAAACCCTAGAAACCTGGAAGGTTTCCATTTTATGAAAATAATATAATAATAATAATACTCTCCCTAATTCGCCCCTTATGAGTGAATTTTAACCCCTGAAGCCTACTGAGCTGTGGGGAAGGAACGGATATTATTAAAATTATTATTTGCCGCGTCGCTCCGGGGCGACTTAAAGATGATTGATGGGGCCATTTGATTTACAAGTGAGGAAAACCCAGAAAACCTCCACCCACCATCATAACAAACAATTTTTAATAGTTTTTGAAACCATATTGGATTTGCCATATTATTAATGTTCTTAATAAGTTTTAACAGTCATTTTCAATTTCAAGTTATGAACTACAACATTTTAACTTTGTCGGTCGCCATACAGATTCGGCATTTTGTATTTATAATTTTTAAAGTCAAATTCAGAATCATCGACCTTTCAAAGTCGAACTCTTCAGGTTTAATTTTTGTGCAGAAAAGGTAATTTTTAATATTTTCTTGTGCCATTTTGTATTTCTAATTTTAATGTTACATTCAAAATCGGCTACCTGAAAAACTCCTTAGAAACCCCACTGGTTTCATTTTTATGCAAAACAAACAATTTTTAATATTTTCCAGCGCCATATTGTATCCACCATTTTGTTTCTAATTTTGAATGCCATATTCAAAATCAGCGACCCCAAAAACCCTTAGGATCGCATCAGATTTAATTTTATACAAAAGCAATTTTTAATATTATCGGGCGCCATATTAGATCCTCCATTTTGAATTTTCATTTTTTAATATCATATTCAAAATTAGCCCTTAAGGTTTAATTTTTATATGAAACAAGCAATTTTTAATATTTTTTGATGCCATATTAGATCCGCCATTTTGTATTTCTAATGTTAAATGTCATATTGAAAATCAGCGACCTCGGAAACCCTTTGGAAACTTTTTAGGTTTTATTTTTATGCAAAACAAACTATTTTTAATGTTTTCGGGCGCCATATTGAATTCGCCATTTTGTATTTCTAATTTTAATGTCATATTCGAAATCAGCTACCCGAATAACCCATTATAAACCTACCGATTTTATTTTAATGTAAAACAAGCAATGTTTAATATTTTCGAGCGCCATATTGAATATTTTTTTATTTCTAATTTTGAATGTCATATTAAAAATCAGCGATCCCAAAAAAACCTTAGAATCGCATCAGATTTAATTTTTATACAAAACAAGAGATTTTTAGCTATCCCTTAAGGTTTAATTTTTATGGAAAATTAGCAAGCAATTTTTATTATTTTCGGACGCCACATTGGATCCGTCATTTTGTATTTATAATTTTTAATGTTATATTCAAAATCAACTACCCCAAAAATCACTCAAGAATTAATTTATATGCAAAATGAGCAATTTTTAATATTTTCGAGCGCCATAATGAATCAACCATTATATATTTCTAATTTGGAATGTCATATTCAATATCAGCGACCCCAAAAAACTCTTAGAATCGCATCAGATTTAATTTTTTTTACAAATCAACCAATTTTTAATTATATCGGGGGCTATATATTGGATACGTCATTTTGTATTTTCATTAATACATTTTTAATTTTTAAAAACTTGTTTCTAGAAAAAAAAAATGGACCAATACAGTATATTAGTAACAAATTAATGTTTTTAGCTATTTTTTGTTTTGTTTTATGTTGTAGTACAAATTAATCTTTTTGGTAATTTATTCGTCTTGTTTTGTGTTTGTTGTAGGACTGATTCTGCATAGTTGCAAGAGCACGTTCAGTTCGTTACTATCCTTATGCAAATTAAGGACTATCAAATTTTCTTCATGTCATTTCCCACAGAAAATCGTTAAAGAAGTAATAAAGAACAACTTGTACTTGAAAAGCCTTTACTTATGTAAGTAAAAAAAAATGTAAAGTGGTTTTTACTATTTGTACAAACCTAAAAGTAGAGGAATAACTTTTTTTTTGATACTTAATATCGTTAATTTTAGCGAATAACATAAATGTAAATCCCAACGAACTGTGCGAGGTAATGTCGCGGCAATCGTACGATATTAAAGACATTCATATTAACGAGAGGAAACGATTGAGAGCACGAAGTCTGAAAACCTTATCAAGACTGACTAATTTAAGAAAACTATCTATTATTTCTGAGGCTGGTTTCGATTGTAATCCAGAAGATTCTTTTGAACTGTTGGCAGCTGGATGTTCATTCTTGGAAAAGTAAGTTTTACTCTAACTGTTATTGACACATTTTAACAACTTATAACTCGAAAACAGTTTTTACTAGACTTTATAAGTTTTTGTTAACATTGCTGTCACATGTATTTTTTTCTGGAAAATATCGGAAAAAAATTATCTTTTTTGAACCAAAATTGTGAGTTTAAATAGAACATCCTATAAGTTTTAACATCCTCGTAAAGACCATTTCTTCCCCTTTCCAATAATGTATATTTTGTCGGCATTTGAGAAAACCTTACTTTTTTATGTCAAGAACTTCCAAACTAGTCCAATTAAATTAAACTTTGAGAAAAAAAAAATAATTATTAACTGGACTTTGATAAGTGTAAATGGTAGAGGGGTTTACAATAGATAAAAAAATGCAAACTGGGAGGTTTAGTTAACTTTTAGGGGATCGAAAAGTGGTGAAAAATGGTATCGCGATTTCCGGCGAAAGTTGACGTCAAAAACAAAAATGCATAATTCTGTAGATCAAGCAAAAATGTGATGTCCTTTAAAAAAATGTGTCCTTTTTTTATTATAGGCTCACTAATACCATACCACCCACTCTTCAAAGGCCTCAAACGTATACTGACTTGGGAGTGACATTTGATGAAAATCTCTCATTCGTGCCTCATATCAACATTGTACCATAAGTTAGCTGTATGTATGGATTATCGAGAAATACTAGGGATTTTAATGACTTACAATTCTTAAAAACTGTATATTATCCGTACGTCAGATCTAACCTTGAATATGCTTTGGTAATATGGAGCCCACACTACCAAGTACATTCTGATAGCTTAGAATCGATTCAATGAAGGTTTCTGAAATTACTTTTTCTAAAATTCGATGGAATTTATCCTCCCATGGGTATACCCAGAGATAACAGGAGTAACTACAAATAAATATCGTGCTGTAGTGAATAAGTCACTCTAAGGGACACAGGAGGGTATAATATCCGCTGTTGTCATGCCTATTTTATTATTCTTGTTTTGTTTACAAAATTATTTACATATCTTAAAAAAGCTAGAATGATTCAACCTATTTTATTGCATTTTCTACGTTGTTTAATATAAGCGCAGAAGCGGTTACATTGCCTACGCAGTGTCAATCGGTAATTTTTTTGTACAAGTTAGTTAATAACTTAGCAGGTTACAAAAACACCATTTAATGTTCCTAGGATTGCATCTCGAAGCAACATTACCTTCTATCTGTCAACTGCGCGAACCAATATTTTACAAAACTCACAGTTGTTCCGAATCTGTTCACATTATAATTTAATAAGACACCAACCTGACTTATTCAACTTACCTGTATGTTCAATAAAAAATGCATTCTTAAATTAATATTCCTATAGATACTTTGTGATAAGTAGATCATTTTATATCATATACTCGTATGTAATTAAGGGCTAAGTACAAAAGTAATATTTTATTTGGTAAAGAATTGATACAAGTGACTGACAAATAAAGCCATCTATCGACATGTAAAAAAAAGGTGTTAAAATAAGCTACAGGCACTTAAGGCCATATCGAGTCAGAAAGTTACGTCGAGGCTGGTATGGGAATGCATCGAAGAACTAAGAACACTGGCAGACCGTAATAGAGTAAAACTATTTTGGGTGCCAGGTCACAAAGGGATCGAAGGCAACGAAAAGGCTGACGAACTTGCAAAAAGAGGATCAGAAGAAACACCGGAACCAGACACAACCCAGGAGTACCAAAAAGTACAGTCCGGGGTTTTATAAATTACTGGATTCGGGAACAACATATCAACTATTGGGGAAGCACCCCAAAACAGGCACATGGAAAAGCCTTCATAGGCAGACCATGTCCCAAAAGAACTGGAGAACTACTCTTAATGAATAGGAACCAGTTGAAAGTGATAACAGGGTTCATGACTGGGCACGCCCCAGTAAAGGGACACTTGAACAAAATTAGCATGTACAATGGGGAACTCATGTGCCGACTATGTCACAAGAAACCAGAAACGGCCAAACACATAATGTGCGAATGCGAAGCTCTAGATCGCAAAAGACAGGCTCTTTTTGGACAACCCCAGGTTGATTCAACAACGTATAGAACCCACTCACCCAAGGATCTGTACAAACTTGTACAAGGTACAAAGGTGATAGAGTGGGTGCTATGAACTAACATGGGGTAAAACACAATAAGCCAATAGGCTTCAGTGTTATTCGGAGACACATAGTCAGACGAGCCCAGGAGAGAAAAAAAAAGCTACAGAAATATTTATTTTGAATGGCTACAAGTACGGTTATACCTCTTTAATTCTAATATGTTTGTGTCAATTTTTTTGACATTGGTATTTACATTTTGATCTGTGGATCTTTAAGGTCTGCTCCAACAACGATCAGAAACCAGTCACAGACACCAGGATTCTGCGCAGTAGATAATTTGGCGGTTCCAATAATCAACTGAGCATAAGCCTGATGTCAGTGACTGGTTTCAAGTCGTTGTTGAAACAGACCTTTAGTGTAATACAAACGAATGTTTCACCTTCAAAATTTATAATTCCTTCTGGGCTTGTATTTTTGTGAAATTTTCAAAAAATTCCAATAATAACAAAACTTAGGATGGAGAAACCTTGATTTTTTTGTAAAACTTCGAAAAGTATTTATTTTGAAAAAATTTAAAACGAATTTCAAAAAAAAACATTTTCTGCTTTTTGTTTTAATAAATATCTATGACTATGAAAATTAATAAGACTATTTTTTTATTTAAAAATAAAAATCTAAATAGTTCTATTGTGTGCGCGCCCAAATTAATAAATTAGGTTGAAATTAAAAGGGTATGAGTACATTCTTCTAATATTTTTGACAGATTTTAAATATTTACATCCAACACATATATTTCTAACGTCTTTATCTTTCACCTTAACGACCAAAAGTCGTGTAGTTGATCTTTGAGAATTTTAACACAACACTTAACTTTAGACTTCAATGTATCAATAATTGAAAAACTGTACTTATACCTCTTTAATTCCAAACCCCTCAATCAATCTGAAATTCCTTACACTGTAATTGGTTAAAACCTGAGATAACGAGAGATGTAGCTATTCATTGTTAAAATATAATATTCATGTTGTCAACATCAATTCTACAGGTGTAGGTCCAGAGTGAAGAGACATGTGGTGAGGGAGTAAACAGAAGGATTTGACGGCAATACCAAAAAAAAAATTATCATTGAATGTATGTGTAAGCGCTTGGGTGCTTATAATAAACAACTTAGAAAATGGAAGCCGGTGCAAACCATGTTGCCACTTCTAGTACCAAATACTTTATATCCAACTTAACAATAACTAGGTTCTGGAATTTATTGAAAATTTGATATAACTAATGATTCAAAATTTTTTGGGTTCAGTGGCAATAAAATAGATTGAATTATTTTAGCTTTTTTTTAAGATACGGAAATAGTTTTGTGAACAAAACGAGAATAATTAATTAGGCATGACAAGAGCGGATATTCCTCTATTATTCCTTAGAATATGTCTTATTCACTACAGCACGATATTTATTTGTAGTTACATCTTCTGTTTTCTCTGGTTAAAACTGTGTTGTAAATAAATAAAATAAATAAAAAACCAACAGCTCTGTAGAAGTCACTTTTTACCAACCTCAAAATTTTCGATAAAAATGCATAAGTTGGTCCAAAATACTTATTATTTTCGTTCTGACTTGCAGTTTTTGATAAAATAAAAAATTATAGTCACGATTAAAAACCATGCATGTTTAAAAATGGATAAAAACAAAAAATACAATAGCAACAATGAATTATTCCTTAATTATTGATATAACTTGTTTAAATTAAAAAAAAAAAACTGATTGCGCCATTTAATTGTAGGGAAAAAATATAAAAGACAATGTATTTTATATTTTGTCCAGACCTATTTTTGTATATAGTAGTGATATAAACATTTATGCCGCGTTTGAGAATCCACATCGGATGCATCTGAGATGTAGTAAATCTTTGATCACGTGATTCAGTATACGTAAATGTAATGGGACAGATGTGTCCGATGTGGATAAAAAAACGCTCGAGTATAAAAAATGCATTCGATGTGGATTCTCAAACGCGGCATTAGGAGGATGAAGGAGTCACTGACAACTTCGTGATCTGTCAAAAGTATGTGCATCCTTAACTATTCATATTCTGTTTCATCAAGACATACGTTGTTATTAGCAATTGAGATGAGATAGCAAAGGATAGCTTGAATCAGCGAATATAAGTTTGGCAACTGCGAATAACACCTCCCAAAGTGATGTATGTCTCTTCTTAGCCCTAATTGCATTGTAATAATAATGGTGTAATAGTATACTTTTAAATTAGAGAAATACCACCAACTGGTGCAGCATATTTTTAACTTCAAACGTAGCTTGGAAACAAAATAACTATAACCAAGTTATTGCAAATAATTCAAAAATACTTATGCCTCGCTTTACAGAAGCCTCAGTCATCCCTGAAGAATTGTTAAAAACAATCTCGTACAGCTCTGAAACCAGTTGTAAAGGTACCTTTAAATTAGGTTTAGAATTAGAAATTTTGTAAGAATTGACTTTTGGTCTTTGTTAACCAACCTTGTATATTGTAGAATATAATATGTAATAAACTTGTTCTTGTCGCTACGTTTTTGTCTATTATTGACCCGGTATAATGTGTAAATTTCAACCCTCAAATAAAATGCTTAGACCATAGAAAATCTACCTGAAATAAGGATTCCAAATCCGCAAAAAACATCAAGAACCGTCAATCCAATGTCAAGTTATAGCATTTTAAAAATTTTGCTACCCAAATTTTATGTTTAGTAGTGTGTACAAGACCTAAGGGCCTTAATCCAAAAACTGACAAAAATGTCTAGAGATATTGATGTTACCTTAGTAACGAACCATATTGCAACGACCAAAAAAATTTTTTGCGGAAATTTCACTCCTACAAACTTTTTGATTTGTTGCATGACTTCATTGATCACCCTGTATATAATAAACCTATACCCCTACCATAAATATACGTCATGCAGCTTAATCCGAAAAAGCTAACTCTTAAAATCTGCAAGCCGCGTTCAAAAATATGCATTCCTGTTAAAAATATTGAACTTTAAATTTTGCCTAAAAATCTCTGTGTAAGTTCGAGTGGCCAGCAGTTTAGTTTGCGAAAAAAATCCCCAAATAACAACAATCACAAAAAAATAAAAACCTGTAAATAAAGCCCAAAATCGAGAAAATAGTATAAAATACACGTTGTAGAAGGTCGCTCGTGGCCAAATTTTGAATTCGTACGGGAATATGTGGGCTTCTGCAACTTGTATTTTAATATACTATTAATCAAGTGTCGGACGAAGATCAAATGACTTTGGCAAAAAGAGCAAAATTGTCCTAGTAAATTTATTATTTTTTTTTTCATCCGTTGTGATATCAAAAATCTGAATTTTAAATACCTACGTCCATGAATTCTACAAAATTTAGAAAAGTTCATTATTTGTCTGAATCTTAATCATTTGACATAAATGATTGTAGCAATAATATGTACAAAAATAAGAATTCTGATCAAAAAATAATATTATATTTTTTCCATACAATTGAATGGTGTAATTATTTTTTGTTTTATCCATTTTCGAGCATGTTTTTTTATCGCGACTATATGTTTTTCATTCTATCAAAAACTACATGACAAAACGAAAAAAAAAAGAGTACCTGATGAACTTCGTACTATAATTTTTTACCATTTTTATCGAAAATTTTAAGGTTGTTAAAAGTGACCTTTGCAAAAGCTGTAGAGTTTTACTTTATCTACAACTTCTGCATTATAAATTTTTGTTTTTGACGTCAACCTCCTCAGGTTCCATTTATTTTTTTTACTAATTACAAGCCCCTCTACCATTTACACTTATCAAATTAACATTTCTTTCCCTCTATGAGTTAATTCGACTGGTCTAAACGTAAAGTATCACATTTTAACAGCATATAACTCGAGAATGAGAGAAGGTATTGATAAGCCGCTGTCACTGAAATTCTTAGATGTTTTGATTTTTTTCTAACCAGTTGCCAAGTCTCAAACGTTGTCTAAAATGTTCGTACAAAAATACTTTTTCAAATGGCGAATTTATTTTGTCTGAAGCGAGTGGATGTCTATAAATGAGTATTTACTTTTGTAGATTATGTATAGATAACTGGAAAGAGATAAACGACGCAAATTTCATATCTGCCTTACGGATGTTTAGTCAGCTAAAGACATTAATTTTAAGAAGAACCAATATTACAATAAAAACTTGCAGGGAGGCCGCCATTACACTTCCGTTGTTAAAAACTTTGATTGTTGTTAAGTGTCAAAGGATAAAAAAAGCACAGGTAAAATTTTTTCAAACCAAAGTAATTTTGATTAATCATTATTTATGTTTTAGTTGCTTTTACTTAAAAAGGATTTTGAAGATATTGATATACCTTTACAATAAGGTTTTTGTACCTAAAAGAAATAAAATTAATTTTTCGTAATGTTTGTTTTTTTTTTCATGTCTTTCCTTCAAAAAAATATGAAATATATTTATTAAGAAATATTTTTAGTTCTATTAGGCAGGGTTCGGAGGATATATATCAAGTGATATATATCATGATATACATATATCATGATATTTATACCTTGATATATATCCGATATATTCGATAATTTTATTTATTTAATTAAAAATGTTTTCCACCATTCTGAACATCCGAAAATGTCAATACGCCCTTGAATAAAAGTATAATAACTAGCGATTTATGTGTCTGTGTTAAAATATTAATGTTAATAAAATAATGTTAAAATATGTTTTTTTTTTATTATTTTTGTTTTTTCTTTTTAATCTGAGTTAAAATAAACAGTTTTGTTGTTTAGAATATGGGTTTTCGTTAATATGTTTGTGTTAAAATTTAAAATATAGTTTGTGCAAGAAACAATACCTACTGTTTTTTAATGAAATAATTACTATTTCGCCCTGACTATAAAAGTGAAACTGTATGTGAAGTGGCTCATCAAAACTTTTCAAAAATAGCGCGAAGTACTGCACGGAAAATTCTGAAAAGTGCTCTAGAGATTTTTTGAGAGATTTGTAAGCCAAAAATATAAATATCCAGTAAAAGTGAGTACATTAAACAATACATACTCTCCATAATACAGATTATATCGAGGTAAAAGTAATTATACAAAAAAAACCTTAATAAAAGATAATTTAGAAATTTAGTCTGGACGCTTCAGCTAACTTTTGATAAATAATAAATAAACAATACATTTTAAAATATAACAAAAACGAAAACATCCCAGGTGAAAATTCACTTAAAATGTCACTAATAACAAATAGTCAACTTTTAGAGGAGATTAAGAAGCTGCGAAATTTTGTTGAAGCAAGTGAAGTAAGAATTTTAATGGAAATTAAAACTAAATTAACAGAAAAAATCATAACGTTAGAAAAAGAAAACTCAATTTTGCAAGAAAAAGTAGAGATATTAGAACGACAAAATAAAAGGAATAATATTATCATATTTGGCATAAAAAGTTCTGTGCCAGATATATTAACAAGAAATATATGTGATAAATTGAACAACCTTCTTAATCTAAAATTAACAGTTGATCAAATAAATAATATCTATTGTTTGGGAAACGTACCACAAGTACCGGTTAAAGTAGAATTTATATCAACAAATACAAAACTACAAGTTCTAAAAAATTGCTCAAATTTGAAGGGTACTAATATTATTATTTCTCACGACTTAACGACATCTCAACGTGAAACAAACAACATACTTAGAAGACATTTAAAAAGAGTCAAAAGTTCTGCAAATAGGTGTTACATTAAAGATGACAAACTATTAATTGATAACGAAATCCTTTCCGCTGAAGAGGTATTAGCCTATGAAGCTGCTGAAGTTGGTGGCAATACTATATTGTACACGAACAGCGCACCTGGCACTCCTAGTGTCGACATCGTTGAAAATCCACCAGCACCAAACTTGGAGAAATTAAAGAAAGGAGAAAATTCTGAAGTCCAAACGAAGCAACCATCAAATTCCACTCCAAAAGCAGAACTACAAAAAAATAATAGTGTTAAACCCAGAACACGATTTGGTTCTACAAATAATAATAAAACTTTTTTTTTGTCTTTATCTTTAAAAACTTAAAATGAATGCGTATATTCAAAATTATGAACACAAAATTGTAGATACTAGAGTCATTAACAATATATCTGAATTCAACACACTGTATTTAAAAAATACAGTTTCCAAGTTTAATATAATACATTTAAACATACGTAGTATTAGTAAAAATTTTGATAATCTATGCATATTTTTAAATAGTTTTAAAATGGAGTTTGATATAATTGTTTTAACAGAAACCTTTCAGCTCTTTGATTCTTTAAATGTGTTTTCACTGAGTGGGTATGATATTTTATATAATGGTGGTATGTTAAATAAAAACGATGGTATAATTATTTATGTTAAATCTTCACTTAATTATAAATTTGAAGCAACATTTATCGCTGAATATAAAGCAGCCGAAGTAAATATTTCGCTAAAAAACTGTAACCTTTTTTTAACTGCAATCTATAGGTCACCAAATTCACTTTCAACCCTGTATCAGTTCAACTTGGAATTATTAGGCTATCTAGAAAAAAACAAGAAACATCAAGCACATGTTATAGTAGGTGATTTAAATATCGATTTGCTGAGTAACGAGTTGAAGATTATAAAACCTATTTATACACATATAGTTTTGAATCCTATATAAATAAAATTACAAGACCGGCTAGTAAAACATGTTTAGATCATTTCTTTATTAAATCAAATAAAACAATAAAAGAACAGGAAAGCTTTATCTTTGTAAACGATATAACAGACCATTTTCCAATAGGATTAGCCATAAATATAGACCAAGAAGCTAAAAAAACCCATACATTAGACCAGAAAAGTTATTTAAATTATCCTGATTTAAAAACAGATTTTAACAATGACAATGGGACCATATGTACAAACTAAACAATATAAACGAAACATTCGACTATTTTATAAATAAAATAAACTATTACATAGATAAAAATACAAAACTGGTAAAAATAAAAAATAATAAACAAAAAATAAGAAAACCATGGATGACTCAAGGTTTAGCCAATTCTATTAAAGAATAAAATAAATAAAAATAAACTATACTTATTAATTTTAAAAAATCCTGAAAATAATGAAATTAAAGAAAGATATAATAGGTATAAGAATAAAATCGGATCCTTAATAAATATAAATAAAAAAAGTTTCATGAATAATTTAATAGACAAAAATAAAAACTCATCTTCAGCCTTGTGGGACTGTGTCAATAAAATCTGCGGCAAGAAAAAACCTAACACAAAAATTATTATAAAAAACGGACAAGAATTAACAGATGAAAATGATATTGCAAATAACTTCAATAGCTACTATATCGAATTGTGACAGAACCTTGCAAACAACATATTACCTCCAGATGACTTTGAGGAACAGTTAGACATACTTGAAAACACTATGTATTTACACCATGTAACTGAAATAGAAATAAAGCATGTTATAAATACATTAAAATCTAAAAAAGCGCCCGGATGGGACAAAATAAGAGCTGAAACAATTAAGGAAATTAAAAATGAAATTTTACAACCCCTAACCTATCTAATAAATAAAACCTTTAATGACGAATACTTTCCAGAATGCCTAAAAATTGGAATTATCAAACCGCTCTATAAAACAGGTGACAAAACGTCGACTCAAAATTATCGACCTATATCATTGTTGTCAATTTTTTCGATATTTGAAAAAATCCTTAAATTAAAAATGACATTACATACAAATGGAGAAATAATCAGTTTCGCCGATGATACTGTCATAACTTATAGCTCAAAGAACTGGCACACGCTAAAAACAGAAATTCAAGATGATTTTAAAGCAGTTAAAAATGGTTTCAACTCAATAAACTAACATTAAATACCGAAAAAACGAAATATTTACCATTTACCTCTTATGTAAATAATTTGCCGAGTTTTGGTCCAATACATATAGATGCATGCAATACAAATACCTGAAGCATCGTCAATTAAGTACCTAGATATCACTTTAGATAGGCATTTGAAATGGGATCTACAAATTAAAATTATTACTCATAAACTTAGAGGTTTGTTACATAAATTTAAGTACTTACACGACTTTTTAAATGAAGATCAGCTGAAAACTTTATATTTGTCTCTGGTACAATCGCATCTTACTTATGGTATTATTGGGTGGTGTGGTGTGGCAGACTGCCATTTAAAGCAGTTAAAAAATATACAAAAATGGCTAATCAAGCTTATATTTAAAAAACCTGTAACTTATCCGAGTGACACATTATTCAGTGAAAGTACATTTTTTGATATGAGACAGCTACACTGCCAAAACATTCTTTTAAACACTTTTAAAAGAAAAATTCAACTAACTTCTCCTCAACATAATTACCCTACTAGAGGTAAATGCACTTACCTTCCAATAGCTTCAAAGACTGTTGGTCAACGCTGTACCAATTATTTTGCTCCACGATTATCCAATATGTTACCAGATTACATTAAGGATATTAATAAACTTTCCTGTTATAAATATGCTATAAAAAATTTTAGATATCTAAAATAATTTATAATTAATAAATTTTCCACTTCAATAATTAAAAAAAAAATAATACTTAATAGCTATATTTCATTATGAATTAAATATCGAATATGTCTATATTTTATCTCCCTGTTACTATTTGTTCTACTGTTTGCTTATTATGTTCTATTATTTGTTTTATTACTTGTTTTATGTTATATTATATGCTTTGTTACTTGTTTCATTATGTGTTTATCATGAATTTATCTCTTTATTTATTATTCTATATCGAATTTTATTTGTATTTAAAAAAAAATTTAAAATATCCTAGCTCGCACACAGGCATTACAATGCCTCAGCAAGTTACCAATGTTTATATTTAAATTAACTATGTAATTGTAATTTATATTTCTTTTTTTGAATAAACATTATTATTAATTAAATTTTAAAATTGATATATATCCGATAAGTGATATATTTATATAAATATCATGATATTTTCGAACCCTGCTATTAGGTAAGACTTTAATTCTATTGTGTTGAAGCGAGAAGACATTATTTGTTACTCGAATGATACAAAATGTCTTTTTGCTAGGTGAATTTTGAATCCACTTGTACACTTTGAATGCATGCCCGGCCTGGGAACGGTGTTTAAATTGAGGGATGTGTTCTACGAAATTTAAACGGTCCATTGTTATTTAATATTTAGATAGAAGAGCTATTTAAATAGAAATTCAAAGGCGATAAAGAAAGTATAGGAATCATGATTTTTTTTTCGACCTCGAGTTTTCGACGGATTTTGGGGGTACCCTGAATCCGTTTTGACTATTTTCGTAATGATGTATGTCTGTGGGTGTGTGCGCGTGTGTGTGGTAACTCATGAATGGGTACAGAGAAAAACATCAAATTTTAAATTTAAGATTTAATCTATCTTGCGGTGAGCTTCTTTTGGGCATAGTCGGAACATCTGAGGGAGTATTTTATAGAGGATCGTTTTTCTACTTTATCAAATATATCTGTTATTTACGCTTGGAGAAGAAAATTATTTAAATAAAAGTTGCTTGTAATATTATACTCTATAATTTGCTGTATAAAAAAATTCCTAAAATGGTCCGTAACCGAGAAATTTGACAAAAAGTGCAAAATTTGAATTTTTAAGAAAATTGTTTAAATAAAAGTTGTTTGTGATGTAATTTCTTATAATTCTTGTTGTATATATAATTTCTCTAAAATAGACCGTATTATAACTATAACTGATGGTTTGATACTTTAATTCAAAGTTCACATATTTAACACGATTTAATATACTTTACAAACCACTTGCTAAGAAAATCATTCACTTGGTTGTTTCATTGTATGAGATAACTAATTAGAATTTGCAATTGTGCGGCATAACTGCCTCAAGTTTTATAAAACCGTGTTTTGTATAATATTGCTTCTGTGCAGGCCGGCGTCCCGGTATAAGATGAAGTGACGATCAGCATCGGTTAGCGAACCGGCCTGTATGAGACGAACTGATGGTCTGAAGAGAAATGCAGTTTGATGCATTTCGGCCAGCGAAAGAACGGCGTCAGCTATTATTTATGCTTACGAAATGAAACAAGAGGTAGGTATTTAATATTAATATAATCCCGCCATTATATTAAAATAAGTCCAACGCTTTCTGACTATTAGACCATCATCGGGACTTTACAATAGAAAATGGGTGTCAAGAGAGTTAGGATAGCTAAAAGATTCCAATGCGCCGTTCAGATTGAACACCTTTTTTTCGGCGATTTAAATGCAGCCCTTTACACGTTAAAATATGAGCCAGTACTTACTATTCATTCTGTTTTACCAGCGTTAACATCCGCTGGCACAATAGCCCATTGCGATTTCCTGAGGAAAACTTTCTTCGACTGGCCGAGGAACTCGTTATTATTTCCTTTGGGATTTTTCGAGGATAATTTCAATTGGCATTTAATGTTTATCATTCCCTATGTTTTATTGTGGATCCAATTGTATAATGTAAGTTATTTGTAAAAAATCTTTTATCTGTCTCCACTTCATACACAGGATTTGACAGTTTTGTCACGGAGGCAGGCCCGACGAGAGGGGGGTAGCCGGGACAAATACCCGGGGCCCGGCAGCTTTTGCTGAGGACGTTTTATTAAGTTCGGCACAAAATGGATCCCAGCAAACATTTTGGTGTAATTTGACGTCGATACTACCTAAATTATATATAATAAATTTGGTCGCAAAATTAGATTTAACCATAATTAAGTAAAATTTACGTTGGCTCGACGTGGATTCGACATAAGTGGAGAATAAGACGACGTTGAAATTTGGTTTTATTTACCAAAATAGGTAGAATTACATCTAAATCCACATTGTAGTAGCTCAATTCGTTTGGATAGTAATACCTCTCTAGGGAAATTTGACGTCAGTATAACGTTAATTCGACGTTGATTTAACTAAGTTTAGGTAGAAACTACCAAAATATTTGCAGATGACGTATGCCTCCAAGTGTACGAAAAGACATTTTATACTTATTTGGTATTTTTATC